GGTGCACACTGGGGAATATGTCCGTAATTCTGAACAGTGACTCTACTGTGCACCTGAAGTGTACCAAAGTTCTTCTTTTGCATATGTATATCCCTAATGTGCAATAATTGTGCGTTAACACCATGATTGCTCAGGGTCACATTTGTAAACAAATAAGTTACATCAAGGTTACAGTTGGTGCATTTGTGTGATACTTGCTGTTATATCACATTTGTGCATCAAATATAGCCCTGGAATGGTAGCAAAATTTCATCTACGGAGGTACATGCTTGTAACCCCAGGATATCCCATGTACACCAGTTTTAACCCCAATGTGCACCAGTTGTGGGTTCACACAAAGAATAGCTCCCCACTTGGGAAGGACCCACTTTATTTCACATTTTTGTGTCAGTTTAGATTCATTTGAAAAGGTTATTTATACAATATTTGCTTCCTTTAGCATGCAAGCACTTGGTCTTGTGTGCCCTTTTTTGTCTTTCTTCTACAGTTTTGTGTCATTTTGGGGCATAACTAACACAGAAGATGCACAATTGAATCATAGTGGAATTGATTCATTGAATACATGATGAAAATGGAATGCGTCCAGCACTTTTTGGCATTGGGGTCTTCATATTCCACAACCTGATATTTTGTATGTTGAACTTTTGGATGGGCCGAAATGTGGGAGAAGAGACTGGTTTGTTGAACTCCAGCAGGTCTGTTGTCCAGGGGTCAGCTGCTGCTGGCCAATATTTTATTTTTTACCACTGTACAGCTCCATTTGATATATCCTTTATTTCAATGATAAGCAATCATTTTCTGAGGCCTGAAGTTTAAAAAATACAGTAATATTCTGGAACCTGTCATTGAGTTCAAACAACTGATCAATGGGATGCAAAGAAGTGAAGTCCTTGCATATCGGAAACTCATCGTATGATAAACTATTATCCTATCATAAATTCATCCGCCACCTCTGAGGGAAAAAACCCCTGAACGAGAATGGTGAATGGAAGGGTTCATACTAATGAAAGGTCAAATTCAAATGACATATGGTATTACATTCAATGCATCCGCCTTCTCTAGTACCTTTTCGGTACTAAAATATATTTTTCTTGGAAGTTTCGACCATGAGAATTTTTTCTCTGATGTCCCTTGCGCTTCACTTCAGTCAAGCATCCTCATTTATTAGCTGGTAGATGACGCCAGCAGTTGATATCGTGAAATCTCGCAAGCTCCCGACCATTGATTCTGCTGGTGGGTTATTTTTTAAAACATCATGGTTCATAACAAAGGATATTGCTACATTTGAGCATTTTGGGGAATATCTTCCCGAAATTTCCAGGAATTTACTTAGGTTTTTAGGGTATGGTTGTTATGTGACACCTAAAGATCTCCAGAGCTAATTAAAATGAAATGTGAACATGTGGAAACAACCGACACGCGAAAAAATGAAAAAACCATCAGTTGAACGGAAATCGAGAGAAACAGATGAGTGAAACCCAAAAAGTTTTCGTTCCTTTTTTTTTTTAGGACAGCATAATACGATTAAGGATGGGATATTCATCAACACAGATTCAGCTCAATTCCAAGAAAAAAATCCTAGGCTGCAGAAGAAATAAAGCACACAAGGAACACATCTTGGGCTATCTTCAGCTATGTTCCAAATTATTTTTGGCAGCTTTTCTATTGTTCAAATTTTTAAATCATTCCATGAAATTTGGAACCAGAAAAAATCGCCAGAGGCATTTTACCCAGTAATAAAATGAGTTGTTGCCGCCTTCTGCAATCATCAGTCCAAAACCATCCGAGAAGTCAGATACAACAAAAATAAAATAAATAAACCCTTCGTCACTTTCCCGCCTGATTGACACTGACGTAAAACATTTCCGCGGCAAGTAACCAAAACCAGCGACAGACACAATAGACACCTGCGCATATAAACGACGTGAGGCAAGTCCCATCAAAGTTGGGTTACGAACTTTCAACTTATGTCAGCACCCATCATCAATGTTTCGAGGAGCTTCAAGTCATCAAGTCCAATCCTTAGTGCGCTTATAATGAGCCTACTAGTTCTCGGAAGTGTCAAAAATCTTAACTTTAAAACTTAGGTTTGAGTGGCAAGTAGTACGTAATTTTTAGCATACCATTTTGCTAATGATTTATTGCGTTTTAACGCATTGTCCAATAAACGGAATCATTCGGCTGCAATTAACCCGGAGCACGATGGGTTAGTTTCGTTCAACTTTAATTCTCACTTCGTGGATGATGAAGTTTCAAATGAAACTGACCTCCTAATTATCATGATTAAACAATCGAATCGTATAAGAAAACATCGCAGATGAACCATGAATCAAAAATTATCCTTTTCATGAATGATCATTATTTTTCAATTCATTCACTCAGAAATAGCGGATCCATTCAACAAATTTAAAGTTTCCAAAAAGCTGAGTGTTCATAAATAAATTCCGGATGACAATCAGGTCCAAATACAGAACTTGAGTTCCGTTATTCAGATTAAAATTGTTCAGTTTCATAACCAATACCATATTTCCCGCAGATGTTGGTAAACCCGTTGAATATCATCCTATTTATCCATCACTGTAGATTTTTTCCAGTTTGAGGACAACTATTTATTTCCACTACAAGACAGAGAAAATAAAATGCTGTAAAGTTTAATTTGAAAAAAAAGGGAAGCTTCCAAATGCGGAATAGTTTTCTCTAAAAAATGTACTAAGGAACGGGAGAAGAATCTCTCTCTTGTCCTTTTAAACTTGAAATTAAATCCTGTGAAACGCGCGACAAAGAAACACATTTTTTGCAAATAACTTCATTAAGGGCAAAATGACCTTTCATATAATGTGAAAAACAGCATGTAATCAAGAAACTATAGAACTGTAAGGCCAACTTTCGATGAACTTTTCCTTAAATAAAACGGAACAATTCATAAGTCCACGACAGTTTTTAAAAAACTATGAGTAAATTGAAATTGTCATGTCATATCTTTTATAACATATAGAAAATGTAGTAGCGTCTTTCAGAACACCTTAGCCAGTTGTTTACCTCTTATGCGAAGGGATTGAGTTAATAAACAGCCCTGACACTACTTTATGAACATTTGTACAAGGTGAAAAGAGAAGACTGTATCCGCAGCGCAGACATCAGAGAAACCAGATCGGGATGAAAACGTTAACGAGACAGAAAACCGGAATTCCAACCAAACCATTTTCCCTCCTTACGAGAACGGGTCTCTGCCCTGAGGCACCATGATGACGAAGGGACCCCAACCAGCATCAGATGCCCACAGCGCACATCCATGCCCCTCAGGGGTCACATACTTTCCCATCTTGTACAATAAAGTCGGGTATATGAGTCCTCAGCCAGCGCCACGTATCGGCAGAGCTTTATTGCACTCTGTTTCGAATCCGGTCAATGACAGCAACACCAAACACAGTCACAAGCACAATATAACAATACGTCTTTCCAGGTTAAAATTAGATCAGCTCAAGTCAGCGGTAAAAAGCAAAGTGATGATTCTTGCTCTGGACCTCGCAGGCCTCTCCTCCAATCCGATGCTTATCTTGCTTCCAGGTGATATCAGGGTGGGAGAATTGTCGAGTCTGAAAAGATATTAGTTCCTAGGGATAGATGTCGTTACTAAGGGTTTCGGGAGAGGCCCTTACTGTACCTTCAATGCCTTTTGCAGTTCAAAAGCCAGGGTCCAACCAACTACACAACCCACAGGTGGCCATGTTGACGAACAAAGCTGTTTCTATAGAAAACATGTGTGGTTCGACTCTTTTGTACCCATTTTCACAGCAAGCTTCGCTATTTATGATGTTCGCTTCAATTCTGGAATCATTCATTAAATTTTACCATTTATCTGAAAATGTATGTGCTTTTCAGTACTTTACAGCAAATGGAACAGTGGGATGATGGAATAGTTGGTATAAAAGTTGAAGTCTCCATGGTTTGGGTAGCTGTGCGCTAGCAAATGAATTAAAAAACCACTGCACCCTCAGATTTTACTTGACAGTACCACAGAGCCAAATGGCAGACCAAGCTCTTAATCTTCACCTTCTGTTGTACTACACCCATTTTAAATTAGGAAGCATGGTAGCAAGATGAAGTACGGAGTTGGAGCAGGAGACTACATGCCCATTTCAGCAGCCTGTCACATTAATCACAGGGCACTGAGGGACACGTCTGACAAGTGGTGTCAGGTATATAACAAATACTGCATAATGACCAAGAGCAGTACAGAATTTGTTGGGACTGGAACCAACATGTGTGCTTAGGTGTTTTATCAGGTGGGTGCTGATCAATGAAAAAAAGGGGGTTAGCAATTATGTGTTCAGGTCCCCCTAATAGGAGACCCAAAACCAGGACATTATATTCAGACAGACAGGAGTGTAGATGAACACAGAAGAATAAGAGTAGGAAATACAGGCTGGTGGACTCTCTATAATGAAGCAAAAGGGACCAGAAAAAATTGCTGAAGAGAGGAATTTTGTTGCAGATAACCAGTATAACATGAGGAGAGAACCTTACCTTCTTGGCAAGGCTAAATGAGACAGAAGTTCCTCCAACTCTGGCAATTTCCAAATGTCTCTCATTTGAGGGAAAATCCGGAGATTAAAGAGTATGCATACGGTCAATTGTCCACGGTTGAATTGTACTGTATTCTGGTTGTTCAAGATGTTTACAGGAACAGCAACCCCAGCGGTTAACCTTTGGTAAGAACTCAAGACGAAGACAAAAAACTATTTCTTCCTTTTTCTGTTCTCTCCTACAGAGAAAAACTTTCAAAGGCATCCTAGTCATGCAGGACGTTAATCCCACACAAGAAAACTCAGCGGGAAAATATGATGGATCAGTGTTCTACTTAAACTTATACAATTCGTTGGAAGAATCGCGCTTTTGAACTACAATCACGCAGGGTATTTCCGCCCTGCGTAGGATGATGCCATGATCAAAGGCAAAATGCATGCCATTTGCAGCAGAGAAAACAAAACAGCAGAAAGTGACATCTAAAATCCATTTATTCAATTACAAAAAAGACACCCTTGTCCAAAGAAGACACTTAACACCACATTTTCCAAAACAAAGCGGATCAAGATCCAAAAATATTGAATGAATGCGCCCAAGAGCCACGATCATCACTAATAATATCTCAAAGGATTTCTGAAACAATATTTTCAAGATTCTTTTTGCTTTTAGAGTCCTTCTCCGGCAAAGCTTGCTAATTGGACTTGCTTCGCAAACGGATGAGCATTTATCTTCAGGCAAAACAAGAAAAAAACACCCATTTATTTTCGACAAATTACAAGCAGCATCATGACGCCTCTATACAAACCTCGTTTCTTTTTACACGCACCTTTCTCTCTTTCCGACCCCATTTTGAAAATAACGGCTTCAGCTCCCAGTTGCATCACATTTAATCCCTCGATTAAATTCGTCCCCCAAAGTGTTGCTACCCTGCTTTTCTTTTCTCAAGAGTCAAAGATTCATCCGTTGAAACACGGACTGAAATCTACACGAAAGACATTTTTCGGATGAAAACGGTTCAACATTATTGCTCTCACGAAGATATTTGTTTCGCGTACTTTGCGTTGAACACAATTTTTGGAAGACGCAGCAACAACATATTTGGTCCCAACAGTTTCATTGCCGAAGCTTTCTCTCTTTTTTTGTCGGTTGGTTCAAGCTGAGCAAAAAACACTTCCATCTCTATCTTTTTGTCTGGGAACAGCAGGTCAAACCTCGTTATGCAATTGAAACCCAGCATATGTTAGTTTTAAGTTCAAAAAAGTGAGATTATGCAGAGCTCCCATAAATGGAAAAACATGGTTTCAAACATGAACACGCTCTTCAATTGTAGAATTGTTTCAAAGTACAGTACTATTATCCCACAAAATTATTAGGAATAGCTCAACCATGTCTTCACAACATGCCCTCATGCGCCTGCGTGAAGAGCCATTGACTGAAATCAGTCAAAGGCCTCCACAAAAAACACAAGAACCGAGAAAACATGAAAAGGTATCATGATTCATAAAAAGATTTGACCTGTATATCAATGGGAGGGGAATAAATCGCATCAGGAGCGCTTTTCAAAGACTGTTGCTCGACGAAATCTCAATCTTCTTGGCGAGCTCGGACATGACTTCGCGGTAGATGAGCGGGTCCATGTTGGAGCCGAGCATGAACATGACCCACCAATCCCCGAGCGACGTTTTCCTCGAAATGGCCGCCGCCGTGTCCTTGGAGATGATTCGGTTGTAGAAGTGGAAAATGTGCGCCCTGGTGCTCGGCAATGCGATGATGGCAATGCGGAACAAGACAAGCGCCGACAACAGGGTCGCAATGATGATGTACCAAAACCAGAGGAAAACAAAGGACTTTTCGTTGAAGATGTTCAGTGGGAGGACGCAGAGGAAGTCGCTGCGCATGATGGTGCCTGAAGGACCGAATTTGTGGAAGGTGCATTTGGTGATACGGGGAAAGACGTAGACCATGGGGTCAATGCGATTGTCTTGGTCCATGTCCGAAAAGTCAGTCACTTTCCGGCCATACTGCATGAATTCGCCGTCGAAGAAGGCATTCATCAAGTACATCTGGCCGATGATGTTGATGAGGCAAAGCACTTCGCAGAAGAAGTACTTGATGGCGTACATGTTGTGATGCTGCGCAAGTGGAAGAATAATCGACATTGACAAATGAAGTCACACACGCTTTTGATTGCTCCGAATTTTGACGGAGACTATCAGCGACGAATCATTTCAAGTCAATCAACCGGGAATTGATTCGATTATAATACTAAGGTGTCACCGAACACTAGCTTAGCTCATAATCATATCAATTTAATTTACGAGAGTCATTAAACTAAAATTTTGACTAACTTCCAGGGGCTCACATGCTTTGAAGCGTTTCACCACCACACTTACACATCTTCCAGGATATACTGGAAAATTCAGTTTAATCAAGAACAGTTCATGTCTCTCCTGAATATCCCCTTCAAAAACCTCCGAAGTATGTTCACATGCAACGTTGTCTGAGCATTTGCTTGGACCTCTTGAAAAGAAAATGTTCTGCCTCCGCTGTCCAAGAAATGTGAAATGGTGTGCAGTAAAAACTTAGTTCATACAAAAATTGGTTTCCCAGCATTGACAAATTATTAGCACACTTTCACTTGACCCAAATTAAACTACGAAAACCTTGGAAAAAGATTCAGATGACTCTGCGTATACCTATAGCAAACAAAATCGTTGCGTCGGCTTTCACGCATTCAATTGAACAGAACCAGCTTAATTTGTGCAACTGATCGAGATGCGGTAAATGTGCCGTGTGAGGTCATTTAAACGTTAAGCACTACATAGAACAAATGATTTAACTTGGAATTCTTCGGGTGAATAACTCTCATCAAGCAGTCTCTAGCTTGAATTAAGAAACTGCTCAGTCATGCTACAGAGCCGTGTTCATTTTTTCTTCTTGTTCTTGACCTGCGAATTCGCAGCATTTCCCAGGCAAAGTCTCAACCAACGTTGTCTAGACTGCGCCTCGAAAGGGCTGTAAGTAGTCCATATGTCTCAAAAATTCTGTTCGTGATTTTCAGGACAAATAAGAGAATTCCAAAGAGAATCAAGAGAAAAAGGCTGTGAAGCATGGTAACCTCAAGTAAGTATGATGAAAGCATGAAATACAAGCCAGAGCAATACTTTCTCAAGAAAGAACTTTCAATGGAAGAAACAGTTGTAGAACACGGCGCAGTGAAAGGATTTCATTGGCTTTACACGTTGCTATCAACTTTACGACAGAAATTGAACGTAAAAAGTTGATAACGAAGTGCCAACTCTGTTTGTGAAATGTGAGTTTCAAACTTTCATACATGTATCATTTTCGAAAATTAGACGTTTCTGAGAATCTGAAATATATTTTGGACATGTCAACGATTGAGAGATTTTCAAACCATTTGGTTCTCCAGGGTAGTTCGAGTTATCTCCTTCCACCTCCTCCTAATTCAATTCAAATGACGCTCCAACAAACAAGCTTGAATATACTGTATACACCAAAATAAGATTTGAAAGGTAAATTAAGTAGCTTCAACTTCATAATGCTTGCGACAGCTCAAATCATTCAGAAGGCAGAAAACATTTGTAGTTCACCCTCTATATAACATCACCAAGCTCTCTCATCTTCAGGAATTCGGTAAAAAAAAAACAGCATGTTACTTTCATTGAGAAAACAAGGAACCGTCGTGCTCATCAGGATTTCGAAAACACAACTCATTAAAAGTGTGCGGATGTTCTGCGAGTCTCACACACATGCATTGCGGGCAAATTCTTTTGTACCGATTTGATTCATTGAAAATTATTCATGTACAACACTGTGCTTTTTGAAACGTTTGGATTAGAAGTTTTGGAACCTTGCCCGGGGCATCTTTTCAGAGGACCCCGTCAACGAAGTTCCAGGCAAAGACAAACTTTTATCCTAGATGTCGCTGAGAGTCTCACGTGAAATTGGATTCGCCATAATTGCGGTATGCCATGTCGTGACTCGTGAGTGACACGCCCGATATGTTTCCTTACTAACCTTGATATGTTTCAGCATGTAATCAATCAAGGTTTTCTTCTTCGACTCCTTCTCTTCCTCAGTGATCATGCCGTAATTTAGTCCAACAACAATGGTGGACAGCAAATTGCTTTCCCACATGTCCCACAACCATTTGGGAAAATAACAAAGCATAGCTTGCAAGAAAAGCACAAATACCACCCACTGGTAGTAGGTGTAGTATTTCTTTTCGTCTTCATGGCCAGCCGGGTTCACCAATCCTAATAAAAGATAATATTTCTCATCAGCTGACATATAGTACACCCCATGTCATATCATGTCCTGGTTGTTTTAATTTACAATGAAAGTGTTTAAATTTGAAGTTCTCGAGTGTGTTCTTAAGAAAGTAAACCTTGAGTACCTAACAACTCCTTGCCCTTTTAAACCACCGAATCAGCATTTGGAACGCAACATCAAAGAAACTTGATTCGTAAACTCATAATACTCTTATGCCACTGCGTGAATTACCAAAGGAACTTTCAAGTTCAATCATTCTACGAAGAAATGAAAAAAAGAAGATTTTTTGACACAAGGTTGGGTTAGGCTGCATGCCTGCAACAGGTTGCGACCACCAAATACTGTGGACAAAATCCATGCATCCATTCGAACCAATATTCAAGATTATCCTTCACAGTACGTCTCAGGTTAAAGGAGTACAATAACAATAACTTAATCCTCGTGAATTTCCATCTGAGTGGTTTCAATTGTAACCTTATGCCGAGACTTTAGGTACACTTGGAGTGGACCGACACCCTTTAGTGCCGGTTAGTGAGGTCGCACCCGTAGCCCGTAACACTTGCACCTTCACTAGGTTGTTATGCACAACCGAACGTTGCCCGGGATGGATTTGTCGCCCATACATTCGATCGGGTCGCCGATGAACTGCGACGCCGTGATGATGGCGGAGAAGCAAAGCAACAACAATGCCGTAAACATGTAATGCAAACGGAACACTGCATTGTCGGTCGTGATTTCCTGTCGCTTCACCCACGACCCGAGCGACGACAACAGCTCAAACATCTTGCGACACTAAGATTCACTCAACTGCCTGGAAGTCGCAATCACATTCACTTCCTGGAAGGTTGATTCATTCAGAGGTTCCATTATTAGTCATTCCAAAGAAAAAATTTTATTGACTGAATTGAAGCTGATTATGGTTCACTGCTCAATCCGAATCCCTCAGATCATCCATTTCGAACAATCCTCGGCGCGGATTAGCGCGATTTTCAAAAACGTCATGTAATAAGTTAGTAGTCAGATTAAACGACGACTTAGATTGATAAGTTATTTGTGTCGCAAGTGAACTGGTGTAATAACGCTAGTTTAGGACTTGAGTACTATTAGTGTTTAGTGTTTGAAAGAAACAGGGGATTAACAGCCAATCGAGAGAAAAGCAAACGTTTCGTTATTTGAATTTTGAAGACAAATGATCACGAAATTTTGCACTTGAATCTGTGTCTCCAATACAATGACCCAATGAAAAAAATTGTAATTTCGAAAGGCCCTCGGTGATATTTGCAAGGAAAATTCCTAAAGCCACAAAAGGCCTCTCACAATACCTCCGGAGGATCTGTTCCAAGTTTTTGAATCTCAAACCATGGACAGAAGTACCTCAAAATTACTCAGCATAGAGAGCACATCAGCGTGAAACAATGAGCACAGGTTAAATAAACATCAGAAATGATTTTACTGCAAAAAACGAGATAGAATATCACTGAGAAACATACGCAGATTCCACAGACCTCGACCACGTCCACAGAAACTCAAGCCAAACGCAGCGACCAAGCCGCGCTAGTGCAGCAGCGGACGTACACGAGCAACTAGCACACAAAGCCCTCAGGCTGACATGAGTGGAAAAAGATGGAGGACAGGAATGGGATTGTGTCTCAAGGATCCACCACCCTGGCCCTGCACCCCAGGCAAAAAAAAAGGGTCAGGATAAAAATCGATTCTTTCAATGTCACTGGCCCTGAGAAAAGTCTTTGACGGGTCCGCGCCCGCCTGAGACACCAAAAAGAAGGAATATTCCCTTGAACAGGACACTGCCTAGCCTGCCCTTAAACAGGACAGGAGAACTGACAAAAAGATCCCCTATTAGCTGGTGCCGATCTCTTCCACTATAACCACTGATGCTAAATTCAAATTCAACTAATTATTAAAAGATGGAGACTGTCAATTCGGATTTTTTAATGTATTCTTCTTATACTGAACGATTGATGGAATAATCTTGACTTCTGATATCTACTGACCCCAATTTGCGCGCCTTTCTTCTAGAACAGGAAAGTATGGGATGATGTACTGTATATCTTCATAAGGAGGGTTTGATTCAGATTGCTTTTTATTTTGTATGCTAAGGTTGTATTTTTGTCCTCAAAAATGCATGTACAGTAATAGAGTATTTTTGACCTAAGGAAAGTGGCCAGGGAATAATTGGAATTCAGACCCAAAATGTTGTTGTCAAATATAGTTTTCCCTGTCTTCTAGAATACACAGTCCAAGATAAACTTTGGATTTTTTAGTTTTTCAAAAATGTATTAACTGGAAAAAACAGGAGGAAGTACATAGATTTTTTTTAGGATTGAATTTGAATTTTCTCTTTTTTGAATGAAGCGTATAGAATATGACCACTATTATGTACAGTTATTATTAATCGAAAGTTGTAATTTTTATCATTTGTAGCAAATTTTATGAATTCGATTTGTGCTGCGCCATAATTTTTTGATTACAAAAATGCTATCAATTTATACCGTATCCCTACTCTAAAATATTCTGAGTAAAACCTCATTTGGTTCTTTCAAGGGAACAAATTTTTATGTCATTAAATTGGTGCTACATTTTCAACACGTTTTCCAGAAACCAGAAGAGCAACAAAATGGCTGCAAATTATTCTCTTTACATTCTTCACAAGCAATAAAATATTTTCCAGAATATAGGACATGAACAAACACTAAACAATTTTACAGGTGGTACCTTGCAATTCAACCCAAATCTGTTGCTGCACTAGAGTTGAATTGTGGATTGGTCAAATTGCAAGACACTATATGAAATTCAAAAATATCGATGCAACGTATTTTCAATGGTTTTCAAGCATCATCTTACGGAATATGGCTTAATAAAGTCTTTTTAAGACATGATTGAAGAAATAAAAGCTTAATATCAATGCGACAATCTGAATTTTCATGACTTTTGTTCACATGTGAAAAATGAAGAATAAAGGAAATCTGCACCTGGACTGTGTGACCCCGGTTCTTTCATGATCTCTTTACTTACTGCTACATTTTTGTTCTGCGCAACATCCTTGTTGATTTCTGAGGATAGATGTGTTGTCGTACACTTATTGATTTTATGGTTCACAGGCTAAAACCCTGAGTGTCACCAACCTTTAAGAGGATAATCTTATAAGTGTCGACGGAATTATTTTAGTTTGCTTCCCTTTTACCGGATGCGTCCCAAACCAAGTACGTTTAGTACTTAGGCAATCGTATAAGCAAGCAAAGAAACACCAATATTTGTATATTCAAGTGTTTATTGGACTTCAACAAGTATGTATATCATACACTCCTATCCGGACTCTGCTTCTTTCCAGAGGGAAACATCCACTGCCGGATCTACTATCTGGTCAGGGCTTTTATTAACTTCGTAGAGAACCAGACAGAACAGGGTCAATGATCAGACGTTAGCCTCGAATTCAAAGGAAGTAAGTAATGTGCGCAAGCAATCCTGGATTTTATTCAATTTTGACTCAATTTTCAAAATTCTTCAAATGTTGCAGGCTCATGGATGTTTCCTAAATCCCAATTGTTCAAATTTTGAAAAAAATACCAAAATTGAGTGAGATACACTGGAAGATGCAAAACATTTTTTTCAAATTGTAGAAAAATTGGAAAAATGCTTTTAGTGTTTGAATTTAAACTAATTCCATTATGAATATGTTTCAACAAAAATATATGTTAGATCATAGAACATCGATGTGCATACAACCCTGTGAAAAAATTTCAAATATCAGTCAAATGATAAAATTAGATGGAGCTAAACTGAGAAGTTTGAATTCCCATATATGCTTCTCTTCCCAGTTGCCAACGTTGCAAATTTTCCAAAAGTTGCATTTTTGATAAATTTACAAATTGTTTCCAATGCTGCATGCGCGGTGGATGCCCATCTTGCCGGAGCTAATATGTGCTCCACTGAAAAATGAGCCAGTGTGCCCCTGCAGCCCCTCACTCTGCAAGCGCATCACTCTCTCCTTGAAGCAAATCTATGAGAGAGTTGAGACAGTGTGTTTAAGGGGTATAAACAGTGTATCAGGAAAGTGAGTACTCATTTACCTCCAAAACTTTGCTGTGAATAAATTCATAAAGGGAAACACATGAATACAGCTCCTTTGTGTTATCCTCATCCCATACATGCTTCAATCAATTGAATTTCTTTTTTTATTAATTTTTCATTCAGTGATTCCAAAAGAGCCCCCAGCCAGGACTGCAGGAGGGGAACATTTCCTGTTTCCAACTTCAAAAATTTGGAGAAAATTTAATTTGAAATGGAACCTCAAATTTTTTCAAATGTAGCAAGTACCATTCAAATTCCAGCATTTTCTTTTTGGAACATCTAAAACAGTTTGTAAGTGATGGAGATACACCAGTCAAGGATCCTGACAAGATCCTTGAAAAGGCTTACGAAGACACTTGAGGAGATTGGGTAAAAGTTGTGGCCAGGATGATGACCTGGCTCAAAATACGAGAATTCTTTAGGAACAGACCTAAGAAGAGCAACAGAAAACCTAATCTGTTTCCCCTCACAAAAAGAGGAACATACATGGGGGATGGCATCTTCAAACAAAACCATTCCTGAGAAACTTTTCCCCCCTCGAATTCATGGAGGGTATAGTGGAGACTATTTGCTCAGTTCAAAAGATTGGGGCTCCCACAGAGTGGGAGATCCTTGTTCAAGGAGGCACAATACAAGGACGAGAGGATCTCACCTGGAATCCCAGAATGAACCTGTTGATCTCTCAAAGTCAACAGGCTAGAGACCAAAGTACTCATGTACCAAAAGGGCACCTGACTCAAGCCTCTCTTGTATTCTTACCTCCTCCTAAAAAGCAGGGGGACCTTGGATTTATCCAATCCCTGTTTCTCACCTTTCACGAGGATTTGGGTCACCCCTCACCCAATACGCTTGTGACAATTTTTAACAAAACATTCTGGATGAAGGGATCAAGGGTTCTAGCAAAACAGATACAAAAGAATTGCAACTGGTGTTGCAGATTTGACACCAGGCAGTTCCTGCCTCCCCTTGCACCCTTGCCGGATTTTAGATACAATGGGATAATCCCCTTCAATACAGTGGGGATTGATTTTGTTGGCCCATTCTTAACAATGAACGGAGCAAAATTCTCAATCTGTGTCTTTTCCTGCGTGAAAACCAGGGCTATAGACCTTCAACCGGTGATGAACGTATCACTGGAATCTTTCATCTTTGCTTATGAAGCGTTCATTAATAAAAGAGACTTATCCCCCCAAACTATGGTTGCAGACAATGCAGCCACCTTCCAAGCCGCCCATGCTGTTGAGAGCTAAACAACTCACCATTGAGACACAACTCAGGGGGATAAGGTGGTTCTTCAACGCCTCACAGGCCCCCTGGTGGGGCAGATTTTATGAACAATTAATGCAGATGATCAAAGACAAGTTGGCCCAAACTTTTTGGGGAATTCCATTTCAAGGTGACAACCATTTGAGGGCTGGTTTGACATTTGTGGAGAGAATGATAAACTCTAGGCCACTCACCTACATATCAGATGACAGGGATGATCCCATGCCAGTCACCCCTTCAATGTTCATCAACCCGCATCAGGCCGATCCGGAGTTTAACCCTTTGCTGTACGGTCCGGCCCCCATACAGTTTGCAGGGGGATCTGCGACTGGTTTGAAAAGGGGCGCAATTTAGCGTATAAGATTAATGAACAATGTGTGGGAATCTTTTCACGATAACTACATCCGAGAACTCAGAAAATTCCCCAT